CGATGACAATGCATTACGAAAGATGAGTTAATCCTATAGGTGGCGCAGGAGTCGAGATATTTAAAAACCCCGTATTTATAATCCGATTTCGTTCATATTTAGAACGTATATTAACTACATGGAAAGGAATAACTCCACTAAAAAATTTGCCGATAGGTGGCGCACAAGTCGATATGTATTTGGCAAACCAGTATTTTTGGTCCGATTTCGTTGATATTTAGAAAGCTTGCTTTAAAAATATTTGTTTTTACAATTAACTTATTTTAATTCAAAAAGATCCTGTGCTGGTGTATGGCGCGCAGGCATGGACAATGACCTTTGCGCGTTAGCGATGGAAAATACCGCACAGACGATTTAATGATGAGCTATATGAGCTTTACGACGACATACTGCCGCGAATCAAAATTCAGCGGCTACGCTGGCTAGATCATGTCGTTCGAATGGATAGAAACGCTCCAGCTCTGAAAGTACTCAACGCGGGTCGCGATGCTGGTAACAGGAAGAGGAAGGCCTCCCTGCGTTGGAAAGACCAGGTGGAGCAGGACTTGGCTTCACTTGGCATTTCCAATTGGCGTCAGTTGCCACAGAAGAGAAACGACTAGCGTGCTGTTTTTGACTAGGCCAATAAAGAAGAAGAAGGATTCATAAAGAGCATACTTGTTTAAGGTTCACAGAAAATAAGTTTTATTCAACTTAAAATTCATTTCTAATGTTCAGCTCTTCTTGGTTAAGTCTTTCACAGGGCTTTACTTAAGAAGGCCTACCTAAATTATCTTCTAAATTATCTTCTGGCAAGTGTTTCTTATATCCGACTCAAATATTGATGTTCAAATTAAACAAATATAAGTTCAGCTGCAGGTATTTAAAAACATAACACAAGTGTGCAAATACACGGGTGTTATATGTACATATGTATCTTTCATGCAAAAGGCCTTATTTTAAATTTTTCCTGAAATACATTTGTTTAACGTTCCGTTGGTTCGCTCTCTTTTACCACACCAAAAAAGCCATGTTTTAAAAGCTACAAGATTATTGACATTTTTTTAATTTTTTTTGCTCTCAATGCTTCTCATGTAACATTTCAAATTTGCCAGCTAGGGTCTTTTGCATTGAAGATGTCTATATATGTACATAGATACATATGTTCACAAGTAAATTAAACACTAAACGCGGAACTATTTTTTAATACTATTTTGCCCATTACTCTTTAGAGTGCATGCATGCATGCACAGGCAAATGGCTATTTCCACGGAAAGACCCCTCTGACCGATAAATAATAGACTGTGTCAAATAAAACGAAAATGTCGTTGTCGGTCACAAAAAATAGTTGTGGCAAAATGTCAGACTTCTATCTTCATTTTTCAGTTAGCGATTTTTTAATTAATTAAATATAGAAAATAAAAAAACTTAAAGTATAATTAAGTAGCTAGGCCTTTGTCAGTCATTTTCTTCCATACAAAGGGTTTTCGACGACTTGTTTCTATGGAAAAAATGAACCAAACCTTCAGCAAAAAATTGCTAAATATCCTATCTACTTTTAGGAGTATTTATGTGTAAGCTAGTGAAAAAGAGAAAACTGAAATCAAATGAAACAGATTGTACAGGAGATTTATTAAGAATACGTGCAACAATGTACAAAAACAAAATTGGCCTAGATCCTGGGTGCCGGCTCATTTTAGCTCGGTTAGGGTGGCCAGATGCGCTGATTTAATCAGTACGTGTACTGATTTTTTTCTATTGTACTGATTTTTAAGAGCCCGAAATCAGTACTCAAAATCTACTGATTTTTTGAGTTTGTACTGATTTTGTACTGATTTTTACATTTAATACTTTTGTAAATTGGTGTAATGGAAATTTACTTGAGGTTTACATGTTCAAAACAATGGTTTTTGACAACTCGTGTGAGCAGATTGAAAGCATTAATTAAATTTAAACCATTATTAAAAAGGTTTCAGCTTGCAATTGTTTCGTTCCCTAGGATTTCGTAAAATAACAAACTGTTTAGATTCAACCCAACCAAACTCCACGATTTGCAGGTTTTACAGGATTTACAGGAAAATCTGGTTTCGCCATTAATAAATCTTATGAAAGGTGGTGGTGAGTTAATCATATTAAGTACACTGATAAGATGACAATAAGAGATAATCTTTCGATCATAATTAAACATTAACTGAGAAATCGGCTGTCAGTATTTCAAACTTAAGACGACTACTGCTACGGTGCAATGTAAGTTCTAAAAATTTGGAAAAGGTGCAAACTACCGACTCTTGGATATGATATATGTAGCTTTACTTTGATTTTTGATGTTCGACCACCTGTAATTTTACTTGCACATACACATTTAACACTATTAAATTTCATTCGTACTTGAAAATTAGTTTAGCGATAATTCGGTAATATACCTTTTAGTCAACATTTTAATGTGAATGTTGACTTTAATAAGCACACCAACTAAATATGTTTTAAATTTGTAGCTTAAAATATGCAAACAGATTCTGACTCGAGCTGGTCTTCTACTGAAACTGAATGGGCTAAAAAAATTTTTTTTTTCTCAATTCTTATAAATTTTCTAGAAAGTTTGAGACTTCAACTCACATGTCTTTTGTTAAAGAATTAACTATATTTTTATAAAAAAAAAAAATAAATTAAGTGAGGAAAGAAAAAATTTTTAAAACCTGTCAATACATTCTACTACTATTTTCCTAAGCACAGCTGTACATACATACATAATACCTTTGATTTGTTTTAAAGTAATAAATTTTTATATTGATAATACTACTACTTATTTAAAAGTCTATTAGTTATTTTTTTTTTAATTAATGCGCTGTTAGATGGTTGTTATATTGTTAATAATAAAAAATACAGCTTAAAAATTAGCTGATTTTTATGGCTCTGTACTGATTTTTGATCCCAACTGTACTGATTATGTCCCTATAATATCTGGCCACCCTAGGCTCGGTTGAAGCTGAAGAAATACATTTGCCGACAAAAAGCCTGCAACCACATTGCGAAACAACTGGTTCCAAACACAAAAGAGAGTGCATTGATATGTGCTGCGAACTCGCCAATACTAATCGCAGCACTAATACAACGGCATGCAGATATTCTGATGGTTAATGAATTCAGAAAAACCAAACTTTGCGCAAAATGTTTTAGCGTCAATCTGACGTCCAAATCGCCCCACTTTGCTGGAATCGAGATGTCAATGCTGGCAAAAACTACCTGGGCGAATGTTTTATTAACCAAGGAGAAAAACACGAGAATTTTCACAAATAAGATGTCATTATTTTATATATGGCGAAAATATGTACATCTGACTGTAAAAACAGTTTAACTTTAATGTTATCGACATTATAGCTCTCGAGATTGTCACTTTTATTGCCCAAAACGCTGGCTATTATGATAGTGGTAATATATGTATGTGCATATCATCATATAACGTAGATTAGTATGTGCGTGATAGCGCAGCCCAAAGTGTAATTAGCGGTCATAATTCACGCCGTCCAGCTATCCTTTCGCTGCTGATTAAACCACTTACACGTGCCCAAATTCTGTTTAAGGTCGGTTCACCCGCTAAATTAGCAGTGCATAATGTGAGTAAATCACAAGTTTATGTATACAGGAAAAGTTGTTTAGACAAAAAATACGCGGATTAAGGATTTTATATACAACTTTGAAAATATACTCACTATTAATAAAAAGTGCTATTTGGTTTCACTATAACTAAATTAAGTGGTAGTTAACAAATTTGCACTACACTCAAATAATGTGATATTTGAACAGTCACTCGATATATATTTTTGGTTTTAGATATTTTTCAATGAAAGATACAAAGAAAAATAGATTTAAAAAGCTTTCTAAAGAGGCAATTTCATAAAAATATTATCTTTACTCTCTGTAGGTATGTACACATAATTCACACATTTAAAATATACATATGTATATATGTAAGTACATTTACATATACAGATGCGATCAACTAATTAGCAACGAAATTCAAAATGATATTAGGTTTGTACCGCAAGCTACTTGAAGTCACTTCGAGCTACACATACGCGTTCCACAAGTAAGTTTCAGAGTTTTTTTTTTTGATATACGCTGACAAGTTGAACTTTGCTCGAGTTTTTCTACAAGTAGCTTGTGGAACAAACCAATTGTCTGCAAATTATGTTAGTTTTTTATTTTAAATAATTTTCATTTACAATGACAGATTGAAGTACCAGAAACTACAATAAAAAAGTTTTAAAGCTTGCAAAATTTGCAAAAAAAATATTATCAAACTTTCATCAAAATTTCCAAATTTATATTTAGAAAATTTTTGGGTTCTGTTGCCCATTCAATTGTAGTCTAAGAAAGTGCAAGTCTCAAGTTGTTAAAAATTACCGTTGATTTAAAAAAAAAATTTTTTGTGGAGGGTGTTGCGTATTTTATTTCATTAAAAAAATCTAAAAAATTAACGGTAATTTTTAACAACTTGAGACTAGCACTTTCTTAGACTACAATTGAATGGGCTACAGAACTGCATACCCGAAAATTTTCTAAATATTCTGATTAAAAATTTTGAAATTTTGGTGACAATTTTTTGAAGTTTAATTATGTTTTTGCAATTTTTGCAAACTTTGAAACTGTTATTATTGTAGTTTCTGTTACAGATTGAATTATATTTTAAATGAATATTATTAAAAATAAAAAATAAACATAATTTGCAAACAGTATCATTTTGAATTTCGTTTCTAATTAGCAACGTAATATATGAAAAGCAAGACGAAGACGACCGATAGAGTTATAAAATCGCAGACGAATCGTTCGTGTTGCCTATCGTTCGTGATACAGAATAAGGCTGTAAGATTTGCTCAAATAACATTTTTGTTATTGTATTGTGGCGTAATAATATTTACTTTTAAGTAATGTTTTTTTTCAGTTTGTACCACGTTTTGTTGTTGACTTTGTTGTTTTTTTTTTAATTTTTCCTAACAAAAAATTGCGTTTAACTTTTTCAGTATTAAACCAAAGATATGGTCAAGATAATTTTATGTTTGCTGGTCGCTTATGCCACTTTGCTGTGTGAATCACATGCAAACCCAATCGATGGAAAAGCCTTTGTGGCCACTGAGTTCCTAGTGCTGCATAACAACGATATGCATGCCCGTTTCGAGCAGACTAACGTTAATGGTGGCACGTGTGCAAAAGAAGACGCCAATTCAAATAAATGCTATGGAGGCTTTGCACGAGTCGCCTACGAGTGAGTTCAGAGACCTACAAAAATACATACATATGTACATACATATCTGATTTCCAAGGCATTAAATTATCTTTAATTTCCCATTGAAAAAATAGAGTGCGTAAACATCGAAAAGAAGCAGAAGAAGGTGGTTTACCGGTGGTATATTTGAACGCAGGCGACACTTATACCGGTACACCATGGTTCGCTATATTTAAGGATAATATTAGCGCAGCCTTTTTGAACATTTTGGAGCCGGACGCGATCGTAAGAAAATTTGAGAATTTATCAGTATTTCTATACATACATACATACATACATATACATATATATCCACAGAAATTTTAAATCACATTTCTCGTATTTTTTTCTTATAATCATATTTTCAGTCATTGGGCAATCATGAATTTGACGAAAAAGTCGAGGGTTTGATTCCATTCTTGAGGAATGTGAATTTTCCCGTTCTAACATGTAACTTGGACCTTAGTAAGGAACCGGAAATGGCCGCTTCGCAGCACTTGATGAACTCAACTGTGCTCGAAGTCAATGGAACCAAAATTGGTGTAATCGGTTATTTGACTCCGGACACCAAGTATTTAGTCACATCGAATACAATTGATTTTTTGGATGAAGTTGAGAGTATTAAGTGAGTAGTATATATTTCTTATAATTAAGCAACTTATCGATCGTGACTTTTCGTTTAGTGAAGAGGCTGCAAAATTAAAGGCTCAAGGCATAAACATCATTATAGCCTTGGGTCATTCTGGTTACCAACGAGATCAGGAAATAGCTGCAAAATGCCCAGAGGTTGATGTTGTCATTGGTGGTAAGCTTTTTTGATGGATTTCGAAAGAATATATTGCCAAATAAATTGCGGGATTTATCATTGCTTACAGCTCATAATTTGTACTCATATCGTTGCAGGCCACTCCCACTCTTTCCTTTACACCGGTACTGAACCTGATGTGGAGCGTAGTGAGGGCCCCTATCCGACAGTTGTCAAGCAGAGCAGCGGCAAGGAAGTACCAGTAGTACAAGCATATGCCTACACTAAATATCTAGGCAAACTTCACCTACAGGTACAGAAAATTAGCTGCATACGTGTACAGCCAGGCTCCGGGTGAATTTCAATCCAAGTCACTTTGAATTCAAATCGAAGATTATTTTGTTAGGCCTTCTTAAGTAAAGCGATTCTAAGTTGCAATAACACATATTTGATATAATCCTTAAAAAAAATACTTCAACGATCTATAATTTTTATTAATTAAAGAAGCGACTTTAAAAAAACTCCTCCAAAAGGCCTTCTAAAGTACGTCCTATAAGAGCCCTTCTGGAAGACCTTCCATGGGTAGCGAAAGAAGAAGCCCTTCAATTTGTGCCACTCCATACAAAATAGAAAGGAGAATGGAATGTAAAGTGGAAGGCCTCTTGACTCTCAGATAGGCCTTTCGGAAGGGCTTTTAACTTCTGAAATTATCTACTGGGTTGAAATTCACTCGGAAGTAAATTGCAGAACTTCCCTGATAATGCATATTTTGCCCAGTGAATAATAAGTTATTCCAATATAATATTAGTTCGATAAAGATGGAAATCTAATTGAGTTCGATGGCACTCCCATTTTGCTTAATGCATCTGTACCACGAGAGAACGATGTCCTGCAACTACTAGACGTGTACCGCCCGAACATCACCGAACTGGAGAACTCAATTGTAGGCCATACTAAAGTGCAACTTGAGGGTCGCTCTACCGTTTGCCGCCAATACGAATGTAATTTGGGTAATCTAATTGCCGATTCTATGGTATATGCGCGAGTAATGGAAGATCAAGGCGGTGTTTTCTGGACGGATGCGCCAATTGCCATCATAAATGGTGGTGGTATGTATGCCTACAAGCATATAAAACATTTATGAGCTTATTCATAGAAAATTAAGTAGATTTAAAGAGCTTTATAAATTGATGTTTTCATATATTTTCCAATTTATAAACCTTTTATAAAGCTACTTTATTTTTTTATAAATAAGGCCATTAGTAGTTTTCTAGTTTTCTTCAATATGTGCCTGTAGGTATTCGTAGCGGCATCGATAAACGCTCGGATGGTTCAATTACGGCAAATGACGTTTTATCGGTTCTACCATTTAAAAACAAACTGTATGTGATTCAAATATCAGGAACAAGGTTACGCGCAACGCTCGAATTGTCGGCCACGAAACGAACCAAGGATTCTAGTGGTGGATTTCTCCAGTTTTCTGGCTTACACGTTACCTACAACTACCAAAACGAGGAGGGCAATCGTGTGACATCGGTTGAAGTACGTTGCGGAGAATGTGAAATTCCAGATTACGAGCCATTGGATGACTCCAAGGCCTATAGCATTGTAACGTCTGAATTCCTAAAAGATGGCGGTGATCAACATGAACTTGTTGAGAATGGCACTACACCAGTAGTCATGAAATGGGAAGATGATGAAGCGCTTAGCGAGTATTTGAAGCATCGCGACTTTGTTTACCCCGGCATAGAGGGGCGAATTACCGTTATCGATTCAACAAACTCTGCCGCCTCAATTCCCAAATCCATTATCTGGCTTATATTTGCGCTTCTTTTCATCGATTATTCAATTAGTCAAAATTCAATTTAGTATTCCAAAAAAGCATGCTTTTTATGTAAAGATACATATGTACATATGCGTTTTTAATATGTAGAATTTGTCATTAAAGAAACAGAATTTAAATATGAAAGTAAATGTAAAAAGTAAACTAAACTTCAATCGCTAATATCTGGTTCTTTATAATCAGCGCTACTACAGAATCCACCAAAGCCCGGTTATTCGTGAAATCTTCGAAAATGCCATCACTGAATCCGAATAGCCACGAACGTAGCGTATACTTTGATTCAGTGATCGCATTTCCGTTGGATTTCACGAAAAATCAAACTACGATGGATTCTGTGATAGCCCCAATATGTATGTATAAACCTAATAATTTGTCATAATACACACGTCTTTATATTATGAAATAAAAAGTGATCAACTCAGGTGATATAATTTTTATTGATCAAACGACTTTTGGATTTTCTTCTTTTGGAAAAAAAAACGCTTTCGACTCTGATGGACTCTGAGTTACATATCGTTGGTAATACTGCAAAACATTCTATGTCACCTAAAACCTCTGGTGCTTAATTGATCTGTTATCTGTATCTGTTCGCTTCTGACAATCGTTCATCTTCATCAGACAAAGGTAGACAGTTTTGTCATTCGTTTATTAAGGTGTAACGATTTGCAGATGCATTCCGGTGCAAGTAAGATATTATATAAGTGTCAAGGGTACTAATAGACATATACCGTTTTGCAGTATCACCGACGATACATATGTATATTCAACGAAATCTGTACGTAAACAAGCTTTTACTGAAAAAATTATAAGGACCATTTCAGGCAGCACGTAAAATCAGCTTTTTATACATACATAAGTACGAGCTAGATAACCTATGGAAGCATCTTAGCTGAAGACGAGCGATATAAACGTGGAAAAATCTTTTACAGAATTAACCAATTTTAGTTTACCTGAAACCTGTGGCTGCTGGTTGTTGCAGCAACGGAATCAGGCGGTATTAAAAAAGGGTATATTTTTTAGGTAAGTTAAATGAAAGATACTTGTTGTTCTTCTTCTTGACGCAGATGAGGCCTAACTCAGGATATTTTTTCGAACACTCCAAGGGCCGCCTCATCAGATGATATTTCTGTCCATGCTTCTGCACCATACACTATCACGGTGATGTCTCAGCTCTGCAGCTCATATTCACCCTCATTGCGAGAGTCGTGTCGAATGCAAGTCGTTTTTCGAGAGTCGAATCGTATCGAAAATTTCACGTCATTGCCTAAAATTTCCACTCGACTAGTGTATTAAAACGGAAAAACTTGGCAGCACTGTATAGTTTTCGACAAATTTCGTCGTTTACTTTTTTCAGCACGACAGTAAACAATGCCAATGTTGTCGAGTCGTACAATTTAGCATAATTTACGACTTACGCAATGAGGCTGATTATCTTCTTCACTCGTACATCCCGCCTGAAACCTCGTTTGGTATCAAACAGCTGTGATCTCTTTCAATGTTTGGCGTATTGTGAATACCTGGTCTATGGTGAATTTAACAGGCCTAAAGCCACACTAATAAGGCCTAAAAAGTTCGTTGACAGTGGGCTCTAAAAGACCTAATAGCCGATGCTTAGAAGGCTGATGCAACAGTAGTAGGCGCATAAGGCAGGGTAGTCTTAATTGTGAATTGGGCAGAGCACACTTAAATTTTAGTCGTCGGGCATGCAAACCGACTCGAAGTAAGATGCCCCAAAATCCGCTTTTATGAGCTCTTAGAACGTACTTATTGGTCGTGCGTGGCGAATTTAATGCCAAGTTGGGCGACTGTAGTCGCGAAATTCAGCCTCGGCTTACGAATAAGGGCTGATGGACTTGATAAGGCCCGAAGCATTGTAGTCTGCAGCACCACGTTTCAGCATTAATCGATCGTAATGTCATATAACGGGAGGCACGTTTCCTGTTGCAGCCAAGATATGCACATTAAAAGCTGCAATCGCAACAGGCAGTCAACAGATTCGCAGCTGAGCTCTCTCTCTCTGACGCCTGCGAACAATGGAATACCGTTCCCTCAACAGACGGGTCTACGTAGCCGGAACGACACCGATTCATATCTGGCCAAGGACTGCCACTGCAGCATCATTCGCCAAAAACTTTTTGGGGAAATTTGTATGCTTTTACAACAACAGCAATGGAATCGCATTTCCAAGTGCAACTTTGAACTGGTAGATAATTGAGTCTATCGACAAACGAAAAACACAATTTTTAAGTCCCTCATCATGACCACTCCAGTTATACGGCTTAGAAAAGTGGAGAGAGAAAGATTATACGGAAGGTTTATGGCCCTTTAAGAATTTGTAACGGCGAATGCCGCAGATGATGGAACGATTACACTGTGAGACAAATGGTAGGGGTCAGTGATCGGGAAGGGTTCAAACTACCGGGGAAAGTTATATCGGTAAAAAACAAGTTATACGTGTCCCGGCGTTTCGCTGGGTCACGTCTAGGAATCGAGATATATATATAACTATCATATAGGGGAAATTGTCACCTTTGGTGGTCTTTTTTTGACATAACTCGAGAACCACTAGTCCGATTTTGCTCAAACAAATTTAAAAAAATTAAATTTTACAATTCCTTTAAACTGTTCATATAACGATTTTCTATATAATCAACAGTTTTAAAAAAATTTAATATTTTAGGCAAAAAATATTTTTTTTCTTCATACATTTATTTTTACCGGCAAAACTGTTGATTATATAGAAAAACGTTATATGAACAGATTAAAGGAATTGTAATTTTTAATTTTTTTTAAATTTGTTTGAGCAAAATCGGACTAGTGGTTCTCGAGTGTTATGTCAAAAAAAGACCACCAAAGGTGACAATTTCCCCTATATGATAGTTATACATATATCTCGATTCCTAGACGTGACCCAGCGAAACGCCGGGACACGTATAACTTGTTTTTGACCGATATAACATTTCCCGTTGGTTTCATCCCATCCCGATTTTGACTGTCGCATAGTGTTATCGGTATGAGCTTTACATAGTGAAACAAATTCAAGTACAGCGGTCTAGAGATGCAAATTTTGAGCAGTAAAATTGCTGCATCGGAGAAAAGAACATCGAGGCTAAAATACATCGCCAGAGAAACATCGATATATCGATGGTTTCTGATGTTTTGCAATTTGTTGTTTTCTAGTTAAATTTGAAGCAATATTGAATATTTTAATAATTACACTATGCGACAGTCAAAATCGGGATGGGATGAAACCAACGGGAAGTGTTATATCGGTCAAAAACAAGTTATACGTGTCCCGGCGTTTCGCTGGGTCACGTCTAGGAATCGAGATATATATATAACTATCATATAGAGGAATTGTCACCTTTGGTGGTCTTTTTTTTTACATAACGCGAGAACCACTAGTCCGATTTTGCTCAAACAAATTTAAAAAAATTAAAAATTACAATTCCTTTCGTGCAGAGGCGTTAGTTGAGTGGGGTTTAGTGGGCATGCGAAGAGATGTTTCGCGTCGTGGGGTGTCTCTCCGCATCCCGAGCACGCATTGGGCACATCTGCATCCAGTCTGATCAGGCACGAATTCAACTTGCTGCAGTATCCAGAGCGAGGTTGGGCTGTTGTGGTCCGAATCTCTTTGAGGCCTGTCGATATGCTGTTGGGTGCTTTATGAACCTCGGGACTTCGTCCGACAGTTCGTATAGATGCCTTCTGACGTGCCTTGGCGAGGGCTCCTCTGCAATCAAGTGTCTGTTCGGGTGTCCACGTCTGTGGCTCCCTACTAAGAATTACTTGCAGAGCATTGCGTTGTACTCATGCAAGTGATGTTCTGGCGACATTAGAAGACATCCGGTCGCTGTCCGGATAGCTGTGTTCTGTGTAGTCTAGCTTCATCAAATCCGTCCTACTGGTCCCCGGCGACCACACTGGCGCTGCGTAGTTTAGAACCGGTTTGTAAGTTACCAGCAAAGTTTCTTCGTCTTTGCCCTGGGTATAGCCGGCTAGCGACTTAAGGACCTTGTTGGGGCTCTGTACTTTATTGACAATAGCGGTTGTGTGCGCAGAGACGGAGAGCAGACTATCGAAAGTTACTCCGAGAATTTTCGGGTTATTTACCGTCGGAATTGGTTCGTCATCGACGTGAATACCCGGCTGTAGTCTAACCTCCTTCGTCCAGGTGGTGAAAAGGGTAGCTGAGGATTTTGTAGGGGAGGGGGTTAGACTCCTTGCAGTGAAAAAGCGAAAAAACTCGGAAAAATAACCGTTTACTTTCGAGCACAAGTAATCAATACCATTCCGAGACGCCATTATCGAGCAATCGTTAGCGTAAGAGACAATCGAGAGGTTGGTTGAGGGAGCTTAGAAATATAAAAGTTGAACAGTAATGTGGAAAGGACATCACCCTATAGAACCTCCTGTTTTATTTTCCTGGATTTGCTAAATTTGCCTCTAAACATTACTGACGAGTGCCGACCAATCAGATAATTCGCCGACCACCGTTTGAGTGCTGCGGCAGAGAGGAGGCCTCCATGTCTTCTAGTACCGTGGAATGACTGACGGTGTCAAACGCCTTTGACAGATCCAACGCTACAAGAACATTTCTCTCACAGGGGCGGTTACTCGATGTCGAGTAGGAACGAAAATCGTGATAACGTCGCCTTTTGCCTCAAACTTATAGCAAACAAAATTTCAATGTTAACATAATCTACTTCAAATAAAAAAATTTTCATCAGTATATGATACGATGTAATGATTATTTCGCCATGTGTCTTAAAAAAAAAACAAATATTCTCTTATTTGTTAAATATTTATTAATATACAAAAAACATTTTAAATAACATTTGATAGTACATCTATATTTTTTTAGTTTCTATGACTAATACTGCACGCAAGTGCGTTTTATGTAATACATTGCAGGGCATGTTATTATAATATTTGCATATCGTTCATTTACTAAAAGACTGTCACAACTCAAGAAACGTATTTTTTCAGACAATGATGCGGAATTTCTTGTAATATCGCACATTTAATAATACTATAGAAAATTTAGTTTAGTCTTTGAAGATTCCATACATATGTATATACATATGTAATAGATATCGATGGTCCTCTGCAATAACGATGCAGTTCAACATTCGAAGGCCTTTAGGAGAAGTTCTTATAAAACTGCTTCTTTAATTCATAAAAATCATATTTCTTTAAGGTTAACATCAAATGTGTTTTATTGCAAAGTTATAATTCATAATGCATATTTATATTCATCTATAGGCTGAGCTCCAAGTTGCTTCAAAGCATAACATTAGCCTCTTTTATTTCTAAACTATAATTGTATCCGGTAATTTCACTGTCTTTTTTTGGGTTGTGACAGTCATTTATTTAATAAATATTTATGTATGGGTGTATTTTACTTCAGATCCAATTGTGCCAACTTCAAGTTGATTAGTCGATCACTTTCATCCCATAGCCACTTGGCCAAATCATCATCGCGGGCTACTGAAGTTGTTTTCTTCGGCTGGCAGTCGCTGAAATAAACACCGCTTACTAATTCCAAATCTGGATCCAGGGCGGCAAAAATAGTAGTTTGAGCACCGTTTGCAGTAGTTTTGAAGAAGGGCCATTTCAAAACATTTGCAATAGGACTTCATACATAATAACAACGAACATGTTAAAAACTTTTTGAAAATACTGAAATTTAGCATACCCTACCCTAAAAATCGGTTATTAATTATCGAGTTGTACCGCATCAATTCAGATTCCACCACACCAGGGTGCAAGGAGTTCACAGTCACTTTTGTACCTTGTAAACGTTTTGCCAATTCATGAGCAAACAAAATATTTGCAATTTTACTATGTGTATAGACTTTTGAAGGTTTATACGAATGTTCGCTGAGAAAATCATTATTTTTAAAAGGACCCATCGCATGTGCTAAGCTTGACAGCACTACTATTCGACTCGGGGCAGAATTCTTTAGAAGCAATACATTATATATATATATATATATATATATTGTTATGTATATTATTATATAGAGGTAAAGAAAAAAACACATAGTATCAACATACCTTTAATAGATCAAGGAGCAAATTTGTTAAGTAGAAATGGCCTAAATGATTAACACCAATCTGCATTTCAAATCCATCCTCAGTAACCATTCGCGGACAGGCCATAATACCAGCATTATTTATAAGGATATCTAGACGGGTTTCGATCTCTTTGAAGCTTAAGTAAAAATAAAATTGCTGTAACGTTTCTGTGCAGAAAAAAAAATTGCATAACATACTGATCAGCGAATTCCTTAATTGATGTAAGAGATGCTAAGTCCAGCTTAATACCATGTATATTTTTGTTGCATGTGTCTTTGATTAGTTCTTGACGCGCCTTCAAAATAGATTAGCATTAAATAGAATTTCATGGTTCATAATTTTACAGAAATATACAGAAATATAAATAAACAGTTTATTTTGAAAGTGGCATAAGTCACTTTGTACTTAAATCGATATTCGTTTTAGCATGTTTACAAATATTGATAACCAGGGTTAAGAGTTTAGGGCACAAAAAATTTGAAAAAAGGCAAAATGAGCTTTGAAAAAATGCAAAAAAGGCATTTCTTTTTTAATTTTGTTATACTTATATATGTACAATTAAATATGTAAAAAAATGCATATAGTGCTCAAAAAATTATAGCCGAACCACTTTTTCCCAAGTTTTAACATATTATTTTTGTTATTTATTTTGATTATTTTTTTTTTTATAAAAATATAGTTCATTCCTTAGCAAAACCTGCGTAAATCCAAGTTTCCAACTTTATGCTTTTTCAAAAATTCTAAAAAATCAACCGTGATTTTTAGCCATTTCAACTACATACTCGGAATCTTTCTAGGGAAACAAATCGCAAGCTTAGAGTGAAAAGTTGCTAAGTCTACTTTTTATGAAAATTCATATTTTGATATAGGACGCTAGAAAAGTTTAAAATGCAGTATTTTGAAAAGAATAAAGGTACTTGTTTTATTTATTCTCGTTTATATTCAATGAAAGGAAAATTTGCTAAGTCCAAAAGAAACACTGAAAATCGAATAAGACCAAAATAGTACGAAATCTTTTAATAAAGATCGAACCTCCCTGATTCGTATGGAGCTTTGCTTTTGTTTGAACAGACAAAATATTGTATTCAAAGTTTCGCGAAATACTTGAGGAAAACGCATTTAAGAAGTTTTTTACTCTCCTGTAAAATTTTTAAAATGGGACTTAGCAACTTTTCACTCTAAGCTAGCGAAATTAAAAAAGCTCGAAATTTGTTTATTCTATTTTTATAAATATTGCACAAAGTTTTGAGGCATTGGTATATTTATACAGATTCGTACATTTTTATATTGGGCTATTGGTAAAAAAACAAAGAAAAGTGGGACGACAATTGTTTTGTAGTCACAAGATTGGTACAATACAGTGGAGTTGGAAAACCATCGATAGTGTTCCCACTCGATAGTTTCGATAGTTTAATTTTGCACCATCGATACACTCAGATAAAACATTCCTTGATACTAGGAAAAAAGTATGTAATAATAATGAAATATTACCTTGAAATGGCTCCAATGACATGACTGCCTTAATATGAGTATACGATTTGACTCAGTTTAAGGAAAACACAATTCCGTAGTTTTTAGGAAAAATTTACTTGCCATTTCATCCCCCGTGAAAGGAAGAAGTAAGTCATTTTGCTCGCGGCGCTCAAACAGTGGCAATGGCCGACAGAGCAAAGCTATAGAGTGCTAGTCGGGAGATGCAAGGTTCGAGTCCCAGAGCAGGATTTTTTTTTTTATATTTATTTATTTTTTAATTGAAATTTTTTAAATTGTATTTAAAAACAAATTTATCTAATTTACTTTTTATGTTATTTGAGTATTTAGGTTTTTTCCATATATGAAATTAATTTTACAATTTGTAATTTATATTTGAATTGAAATAATTAATTAAGGAAAAACTTCTGAAATTAAGTAAATTTTTCGTAATATTAAGGAAAAAACAGTAACTCCAAAATAAGGATAGTGTTTTCTTGATTTAAGGAAATGCTTTTTTCTGAGTGTAGTATCGATAGTAACGTTTCGTTTTTAATGGGTAAATATGTTTAGAAATGCACTTTTATATGAACTTTTTCGCATGTCTAACAGCTAACATCCGCGGATGCGGATGCGAATGCGGATGTCAAGTATTTTTAAGAAACAATTAGGTAAGTAAATTAAGTTACTTATGTAAATAAAATATGGAAAAGTTAGTAATTTTTAATAATGGTTATTTTATTTAATACTTGAAATCAAAAATTGGAATATTACATTTAACTTGAAGAATATTCACTTGAAAAATAACCCATAATGGCGAGATCGTTGTTTAAACACCGCTTACAAGCCAAACCAGATGTGTCAGCTTTTCTAAAGCTTTTTAGAAAGAATTCTTCATTCTCATTCCTTTGGCTGTTTCAGAATTCGGGGAACCTGTAACGCCATCAGCGTTTTTCGATTTCGAGATTTCGAGACTTTTTATAAGCATTTCAATTATTGGAGTCACGAATGATGAGGGTCTCAGATAGTTACGTAATTCTTATCTAATTAAAGGTTAGACTTATAGCATTTTAATTATTTGAACATCGATTCTCTCTATAGCCAGACGTTGAACATTTCTTCTGGAAATCCCAATTGAAGGAGCTTACTCTTTGACTTCAAAGGTTTCCGAAGAATTCGGAAATAAAAAAAATATGCTTATTTAAAAACAATTCTTTCAGTGTTCCTCCGGGGTTTTTGGACATGGCGGCAATCCAATGTTTATTCAATTCAATAGTATTCGCTTTATTTTTGGAAACGAAATATGATTTGCAATGACTTGATCATTTCTACGTTCTTTCTTCAAATATTTCTCGTATTCCAGCTCTTTCTGCGTGTGGTTTTTCGCATCGTGCTTTTAGTATTAGGTATATTCGTAATTTAAAATTGTTTAATAAAATCAATTGGTGGTGGTTTATGATTGTGTGTGAAGTTTTTTTCGCAACATTTAGAAAATAACGAAGTAAAGCAAAACTCTCTTTGTGAATAATTGTGTCAGGCTTGTGCAGAGAGTGAACAGGTCATTAAAAACGGACACGTTTCGAATATATGGACATCAAAACTTAATTAAGTAGTTTAATTGTTAAATACTTAAAAAGCAACCGGCTTTTTGGATATAAATGAATGGCATTTTCGTTTCTCGAAATAATGTTGCTCTTTTTCCTCGGTAATGTCGGCTACATTGCACTATGGTCAGATAGCTACTATTTGCTGGCCAAAATTAATTTTTTAAAGTATCGATAAATGGATTTTTTTGCCCCTTCACTAAATTGATTCTTCAGAGTAAAAAAGTACATACTCATTATTTTCTTAAAGAGTTTTCCCATTGAGATATCAGCTGTTAAAGTTGAAATTTCTACTAAAAGTTTACATGTTATTTTCTTTCGTAGTCAGTATTCTTGTAGTCTGAAATGGTATACGTCTTCGAGTGAGAAAGATACTTCAAAAAGAGAATGGAAATGAATAACGAAGGTAATATTTGTGTGTTTATATTAAAATTTCTTTGATCTGTCATATCTCCCGAACGGGCAGAGATATCTTTGGGTTTAAATTAAGCGGAAAACTGTATCGTTTTAACACAAATTGTTAAATTTGTGGTAAAAAAAACTACCTCTCGTAAATTTAAAATTAAAAAAAAATAAATGCATTAATCTGGTCTATCACCAAGCGGACTTTGGTGTAGATGCTGAGTGGCATTTATTTGCCACGTCACACGAGCAAGTATACAAAGACCTTATGATAATCAAATTACTACTCCGCGTCAGTTATACGAATTTGCCAAAGAATCAATTAATTCCATTCGAACCGTTTTTTTTTTGTACAAACGAAGAACATACACTGGAAGAGCAAGCTTTAAAAGTTCGATTTGAAAATTCCTCATCCATTGTTGGAACTCGTCGATTTCATTGTTGTATACCTGTTTCTAATACTCATAATCTCAAATGTAAAATTCATTCCCTGGACGATGAATTTGAAATTCGAAATATTGTAAAATAAATATAAAATTTGTTAGATGGCGCTGGAATATTACTTGTTATTTCTTTAGTATAAGTGGTTATTAATTTTTTTATTTTTTAAATTAGTAGATATGTTAAAGATTTACATACGAAACATTCAATGTTTCCTTTTTGTACGACATTTTGCGAAAAAATTTAAAATTTTCGAGAAGTAGTTTTTTTACCACAAAATTTATAATTTGTGCTAAAACGATATAGTTTTCCGCTTAATTTAGACCAAAATAACAGATCAAAGAAATTATTGTAGCCGCTACAACAACAACAACATCAAAGAAATTATTATTTTAATATAAAATTCGCGATGTTTGTCAAAGTAAGAGGATTATTGCAAAATAAAGTATAGGGAAACAAATATTACCTGGCCCTCTACCAAGGTACGTAACTACCTTTTTTTTAAGTGGCCCATTTGACGTATTTTGATTTGATTTTGGTTGTTGTATAACTTTTGAAAAAAAAAAAATTGTTTTTTTTGCGTTTACAAACGCTTTAGGACCTCCTCTGCAACATATCCGAAAATCGAGCAAAAGTAGTTTTTCACCAATTGAAATAGTGTGGAATGCCTCCTATTTTTTCCTTTCGAGTTTTTAACTCACTAAACTTTAATCTCTATAGTTGTAGTAACATTGAATCACAAGATACATTTTGAAGTTTTCTGGCAGCATTTTTTTTTTAGATTTTCGCGAAGAAAAGCCTTAAATGTACTAAACATGCGCTCGACGCGAGTTGATACAAGTGGTGTTCAATTTAAATTTGGAACGTTTAAAACTTTCATACTATCAGGAATAAAAGCTATTTCTTGCGTTTTAAAATTAAAGTTAGAAAAGGCAAAAAAAAAGAACAAATATAACAAGCAATTTTTAGAAAAAAAACCGACTTAAAAAAATATTTATATATACATATATATGTATGTATTTCATGATCCAATGATCGGATCTAAGCCAGATTAGTATGGGACCACCTCTGCGACACTACCTTTCCGTGAACTCAGTGAACTAAGAAAGAGTTTTCAATGCAAGGAGGCGTTTATTTTGAAAATAGAAATAGGTTGTAGCTATATAAATCGGCAATGCTTATTTTGATAATGAAAAACATAAAAACTTTTAACTTTAATTGCTAAATAGATACTATTAAATTTCATTATACAAATACAAAAATAAAATGTTTAACTACATTTTTAATTTGAATCTTCTATAATCGAAATCCGGAAATCCGGCCGAATTTTAGTCGGATAACAAAAATTAACGGCCGGATAAGCCGGATTCCGGATATCTACCGGATTCCCGGTACATCTTTACTTAGGATACCAGTGTACATATATCAGTATTCCAAAACTCATTTAAATAATTTAATGCAATCTAGAATAAAAATTTGGGCACCAAGTGAAAGAAAAAAATTCTTTAAACTTAAAAATATATAATTTTCGTGGTTCACAAGGTCGAATTAATATTGAAAATGCCCTTTAAATTATTTTTGTTTTTAAGCTATTAAACTAGAATCACGACATTCGAGAATATGGTTGTTTTGCATATTAATGCTTAAACTATAATTTTTTCAAAAACAAACACTGCAATTTTTTGGGATACTCAAGGATAAAATTTTAAAAGGACCTATTCGTCCTTATGCATTAAAAAATTTTATATTTTTAAATTCTAAAGAATTTTATCTTTCATTTGGCGCCCATATTGTTATTCTACATTGCACTGATTTTTTTTTTAATAAGTTTCGGAACTAATCATTTCTTTGAAATTTCAAAGTCCTTGAAAAAAAATGCTGAAGACAGAAAAACCAAAACGCAGCTTTATTATATTTGGCTTCTAGTTTTGTGGGTACGTATTTTCTTTTAGTGTAAAAATTACTTTTGCTCGGTATAATTAACTTGATTCTTTTGAGTGACTTATGTCACTTTCAAACTATCCTCAGTAGTTCTTAACATGTCAGTGCAATTTTTTAATGAACAGATATCGTTAAATTGTAATTAGCGATATCATTAAGTCGATTTTTTTTTAAGTGGCACATGCCACTTTTAAAATAAACAAAACAACCTCACCATCAATGCAAAGGGCCCTACATATTTAAAAAATTTAAACTTGTACATGTACATAAACACACAGCGCTCATTTATAACGCTCGTATCTATAGTTCTTTTCGAAGTATAATCAGCCCAATTCTGAATGCTCCCGGGGAGTTTATTCTCCGGGATTTTGTTTCTCGCAAGAAAGATATCCTCCAATAATTAACTTCCAGGGAGTAGCATTTTCCCCGAAAATTCGGGAGGAGAAAATTCGAACTTCGACAGAGCTGTTTGACACTTTTTTGACAGCTCAACTCCGCCATTTAAACCAAATTTATTAATGATAGGAGGAAAGAGAAAAACTCGCGGGGAGTTTCTGCTCTGTGTTTTTCCAAAATACTGCATTTATACTTTTTTTCTGCCTAAATTTCTTAATACACAGTGTTCGTGGAAACACGTTATTAAAATGCATATATTTACTGTTACGTATTTGTAGATATGTATGTATGTAAAAAAAGGGACACGTCAACTTTACCAGTTTTAGACTATTTTCCTTGGTTTGTTTACTGTTTATTATTTTTTTACATGACGCTGGCAAAAATCAACGGTATTTTGTAGACACTTTCAAGTTCGGTTATGCAAGACTTAGGATTGACCAAGGTGTATTAAACAAGGTGTGACTGACAACTCAGATAGGCTCTCTTTTAAGTTACTATTATGCCAAAAAATATAAACAAGCGATTCAAATTATATAGAAAGTTTTTTCAATTTGACTTCATAGGATGGTTCTTCTGAGAGCAATGTCAAATTCAATCACACTTTGTTAAATACATTTTCGGCTTAACCATGATTCAAATATTTTAAGATAGTTTCACTTCTTCTGGCTGCCATTTGACGTAAACTGTGCTTTTGGCATTTTCATTTAAATTGTAGCTACCATATCCTCGAAGAAATTAAAAAAGTAAGTTTTTACTTAAAAAAAAAAAAAATAAATATTTCGAAAAATATATTTTTAGATTCATTTTATAGCGAGCTTTTACTAAACTAAACTAAATATAAATCGGAAGGCAAGTAAAATGCTCGTATTGCATTCTTTAATGCACACAGAGAATCTATTTTTTTATGCAATTATTATCATCATTATTTAGTACGATTAGCTGCATATTTCAGGATGGCCACGTGCATGGTAACTTCACAAAGGTTTTGTTTGTTTGTTCCAACCAATGCTCGGTAGAAAATTTTCCGTCTCAGAACGGATGTACGAAATCGAAGCGAAACGCGGCAACACCAGCGAGCAGCTTATATATCTATAAACTATAACGAAGAGCTTAAGAATTAGGAAATTTTTTACCTCCCTCTTCATGCCCATATCTTACGTTATCACAAATGAGTTTATGCTTCCACGGTGCTTTCGTTGACGGTAAGCTACTTTTTAACCATTCCATTATTCATATTTCCACTAAAGAGGATCCAAATTAAAGCAACATTTATTATCCAATTTTCTTAAAGTGCCACTTATAATAATATTTCATATAACACTGCAGATAATGCCGATTTTTTTAGCGGTAACTTACTTGAAGGTATTTTAAAACAATACACACTTATCAACAGCTTTGTTAATACCGTGAAATAAGTAAATTTACCTTGCGTGTTAGTTATTATTTTTTAATTCATAAAAAATTCCTTTAAAAGATATTAAAATTTCCAAAACAATAATTTGTTGAGGTGGCAGTGCTGCTTAGCAATTTACGAAAAGTATAAACGTCTTTAACAGTTTATGTCTAAGCGTTATTTCAAAGTGAAACTACCTTCTTTTTTAACCGACTTCACAAAAAGGAGAAGGTTATCAGCATGGTTAACAGCACGTCGGTATATTTTTATTTTTTTTTTATAAGTATGTTACCGCATAACTTTAGACAACGTCCACCGATTTCGATAATTCTTTTCTCAGCAAAAAGGTGGTATGTCATAGGTGGTTCCAGACTAATTTTGTTTAGATCCGACAATTGGATCGTGAATAAAATGACGATAATCTTACATTTTTATATGAGAATTGAAGTCGGTTTTGTTTTTTGTTTAAAAATTACTAGTTTGTATCATGGGCTTGGCTTGACTTACCTAGAAACTTAGAAATGATTACTCTGCGCGTCATATACTGCTTTATCTCTTTTTTATCCTAAGCATTTGTATTTGTACACGTGAAATTGTGAACGTGTAATTTGTTTGGAGTGAAATTGAATCACAGTTTTTTGTCCGAAAAAAGATACGAGCGTTACTAATTTATTAAGGCTATGTGCGAACATCTCCATTCATAGGAAAAGATGTTTTTGCAACTAATAAACCCTATACAGGTTGGCTTACGAGAACAACTTTTTCTGTAAATCCTTCTAATCGCCACCTGAAATGCAAAAAGACGTAACAACATCGTAAATCGTATGAAATCATATAAATTAAAAAGTGAATTTTGAATTTTTATTTAGTTACGACTTTGCATTTCAAGTGACGAAATATTACTTTAGCTGGTATATAATCTATGCATGCTCTTTTTATCATGTTATCACTACCTTTTCACATTTCTTCATATCGCGACAAGCCATATAAATGGTAGCTCCTCTCTTAGCTAGTTCACGGGCAGTCTCTTTCCCAATGCCAGTGTTAGCTCCAGTAATGACGACCACTTTCCCCAATGCCGTGGTATTTTTTCTGTATTTCCCACCCTGCATATACGACCTATTAAAATAATTGTATTAATATTTTTAAGAGTTCAAATTTCCAATTACATACATACCTGAAAAGCCACAGAGCACCGGCTCCTAATAACAGCCAGGCGTAGGGAATTTGCTCCATGAACAAGGCCATATCTAAAGATATTTAAAAAAAAAGCACAGCAAACTCGGGAATATCCTTCAAATTAAATTAATTATAATTGAATTTTTTAATAACTCCGATATTTTATAGATAATTCAATCAAAATGAATCAAAATATTTTTGATGAAATGCCAAGTGAAAAACCGACACCAGAGGTGCAAAAAAATGGCCGAAAAATACCATGTACAACATGTTGCTTTTACTTAGTCGACAGGGGAAAAAAATCGTGCCATCCACTTGAAAAGAATCTACAAAATCTGGAAAATCTGGAAATTATCTACTAATATCTTTTTTTTAGTTATTTTAATAAAAACTATAGCTTTGTTCTATTTTTTCGTTGTTACAATAAAAATAAAGTTTTTATTATGGACTTTTTATTTAACTAATGACATGGTATTTGAAATCATTTTAACGGCAGTGATGAAACTAAAGGCAACGAAACTTTAACTGGATTATTATAGACAAATACAATGACTCAAAAAACCAATTGGTAATTTTTTTGAAGATTCACAATGTTTTTCAAGTAAAAAGTTTTTGCTATTTTTTTTTATAAAAATCAAGCATTCAAACTTTCTACAGAAAAACTCCAAAAATTGTCGTCTAAATTTCGGACTTTTTACTCTGAGTTTTTAGAACCATTTTGGGTATGTATGCCCATGGACTTTAAAAACATTTTTTTCGCCGGTCTTTTGTAATTTTTTCATTTAACAATTACCATTTATAAAAACTGGCGGTGATTATTTTTTTTTACGAGCAATCGTAATGTGTAGCTACATACCTGTCTATTTTTTGTTCTTATTTAAAGAATAATTTAAAATATTTAGGCAATCATAAGCGCAGTATTTTAATAAAATGAGGTTTGAATGGAGCACGCTATTAGATAGGATGTATTAAAATACTACACTTTCAATACAAATATTTAGTGTTAGTACTTAAAGCAACGGAGTTACATGCAACTCTTTAAAAAGCCTTACCTGTGTTTGATACTATTTATGTTTTTTGCTTCGCCTGTAAAATTTAAAATTTGTTGGTTATGGCCTTTGTGAATTAGGGTAACGATATGTAATAAAAAGTGTGCATCAATGGGTTCGGAAATGATGCAATAGAGTACACTACACTTTTCGAAAGAAATTTATAATATAATGATAACTCCGGAAAATAAAGCGAGAACGAAAAGTTGTATTTCTTTTACAAGCTAAAATCCACCAAAGTAAACCAAAATGTACCTATTTACCAACAAAAATTGTTTACCAATTTTGGTAATAATTTAATAAAAGGCAACCCTGTTAGTCGAGCACCACCTACAAGTGAAGCGATTCATAGTGTTAGCAGCGCCATCTAAAAGGGAAATTTTAGAGTGCCAACCCTGGCGACGCCTCAAAAGATGGCGTTCGGTTTTCCCTTCGGCAGAAGAAGAAGCACACACGGGGAGGAATAGCGTAAAAATATTGTGGTGTTTGCGCGAAAATCTACAAATAATTAGTGCAGAAATATGCAACTATCGTGAAAATAAAACCAGCATAGTGGAGATTAGATGTCTCATATTACAAAGTGAATTGTATATTAAATAACAGAGATGTAAGCATTTAGAATTTGTGTGGTTTTGTGTACCTTTGGTGGTGACAGCCACAGCGGCAACTAGAGCTGATGTGAAGCACCAAGAGACGATAAGAATACGCCACAAAAAAAAAAATTTAAGAGTAGGACCTAGCTGCCGGCTTAAATTTGTACGGTTTTGTGCTTATAACTAACAAATTTTTAGTTTTTACGTTTTAAAAGAGTATTTTTGATACAAAATTAATTTTTCAAATATTTGTAATACATACATACTTGTATAAAAGTTGGATAAAAAAACGTATGAAATCGTTGCATCTGCTTTTAGATTTGTCTTCCAGCTGCTGTTTGAGACATATGTGTTATTGAAATTAGCCATGTAAAACCACGCATCAATAGCTTATAACATTTGGCAACTCGCCAAACTATCGCTATACATATCTGCAATTTTCTTCAACTTTCATATTTACTTTAATAATTCCAAATAACATTTCAATCTTACAGTTTTTGTAGACTATTTCAACAGAGTCTGCAACTCAATTGTTGACAAAGACAGTTTGGAAAGCAGAAGGAAGCGGAAGGAACCCGAGTCGATAGATAACAAATATGGCGGAAGTGAAATATCCCGCAGGTTGCCGTCCGCTGACTGAGGATTTAGGCACGGATGAGCTGATTCGTAGACTCAAGGTAAGATAATATTTTCATGTTATTCTATTGCTCGTTTTAATATTGATCCTTACTTCCAGACACTAGCTCATGCCTTACAGGCCATGGGGCAAGATGAGAAACACCTCCATGACTACATACAATTAGCATTGGTTCTGGTAGATGATTACTTCCTGCAACACCAGTCTCGCGATGTTCAACTTCTTGTGGCATGTTGCATTGCTGATATTTTGCGGGTGTTTGCTCCTGAAGCACCCTACAAAGATCAGGATCAAATCAAAACTATATTCATGTTTTTCATAAAGCAGCTTCACGGTCTCAAAGACCCAAAAGATGCATCCTTCAAAAGATACTTTTACTTGTTAGAAAATTTGGCCTTTGTAAAATCGTTTAACATGTGTTTTGAAATTGAAGATTGCCAGAAAATATTCTGCCAACTTTTTGCTATGATGTTCAAAATCATTAAGTGAGTACATACATTTTTTACATTTGCTTAGATTTTCAAATTTGCGATGGTAGTAAATATTACATTTGCAGCGAGAATCACAGCACCAAAGTAAAAAATTTTATGATTGATATAATGAGCCCACTAATTACGGAGGCCGATAACGTGACTACCCCATTACTGGACTTAATTTTGATAAACATTGTAGAGCCTCTGAAATCTAATAACGTTCATTCATATCAGTTAGCAGAACAATTAATACAGAAGACAAGTTACGCATTGGAACCAATTATTAAGATTGTAAGTTTTCAAAGTTGACGGTTTAAGTATTCATCAAGTAATTGAGAACTTTGTTTTTAATTTTAGTTTTTCAACCAAGTGCTTATTTTGGGTAAAATTGATAAAAATATTGCGATAACGGCTAAAATCTATGATCTCATCTACGAGCTAAATCAAATTAGTCCGAATCTGATGTGTTCTGTTTTGCCTCAACTGGAATGCAAATTGAAATCCACAAATGAAATAGAACGGATGAGTAAGTATTTTAATACATGTACGTATGTTTAAAAGTCATTCGCGAAATTTATTTCATAATTATTTCAGAGGCTGTATCTCTATTAGCCCGAATGTTTTCTGAAAAGGATTCCCAACTTTCAAAAAAACATACTTCGCTTTTACGTATGTTATTAGGACGTTTTTGCGATATTGCCTCTGCGATACGTGTTAAATGTGTACAATCTTCAATGCATTTCTTGCTCAATCACCCACACTTGCGCAACGACATAATCGAATGTTTGCGCGCGCGACAACACGATTCCGATGAAACTGTCCGTTACGAAGTTGTAATGGCCATTGTTGCGACAGCGAAGCGAGAATTCAACATCGTTTGTGAATCTCAAGATTTATTACATATTGTCCGCGAACGTACGCTGGATAAGAAATTCAAAATTCGAAAAGAAGCTATGAACGGGCTAGCATTTATTTATAAGGGGGTGAAGTGCGAGCCCAATGACCTTTCTTCGGAAGTGAAAGAATCTGTTGGTTGGATAAAAAATAAAATTCTTCACGGCTATTATATGCCCGGAATTGAAGATCGTCTACTTGTTGAACGTTTACTTATTACGTGCCTAGTGCCGTATAAGTTGCCGCCCGACGAGAGAATGAAAATGTTGTATCATCTGCTTGGAACACTCGATGATAATGCCATGAAAGCATTTATGGAGATACAGAAAAATCAAATGAAAACGCGAAAAACTGTTAGCGATTGGGTAAAAATGCATCATACCAAAGAACTTACACAAAAAATGTTGAATCAACATAACGTTAAACAGGCTCTAATTTGCAAGTAAGATTTGATCAGTTTTTTTAGTATTAAAATATTAAAAATAAACCCCCATCAAAATATAGATTATTGCCAGACCCTCTTAAAGCTAGTGAGTACATTGCTAAATTCAGTATCAACATGCGCAAAGATGGTACCTTATTGCGTTATATGGAGATCATTTTGAAGCGTGATGTGTCTTGCAAGGAGTGCGCTGATACTATGTCCTTGCTTCTTAAGAAACTAGGAAATCCCATGACGGCTAATTTGTATTATAATACCGTAAAAATGCTTATAGAGCGGGTCGCTTCCGTCATGGTGGACAAAGAGTCTATCGGTATACTGATAAGGTAATTATATACAAACAGAAAAGCTCGGTATTTTTTTTCAAACGAAATATAATCCCCGCAGCCTTATTGACCAATGTATGCAGCGAGGCAAGATTGTGGAAGAGGTGGGAATACCAAGCGACGAAGCTGGTGAACGTGGTCTTAAATTTCTGTGTGTAAGTTATTTGCATACATACATTTGTACATTTGTGGAGCTCTGCTTATTGATTTACTTTCCTTAAAGATGCTTTCTTATATATTTTCTGCACATTTTTTCACCGATGAAACCTTACAACACATGATCGCCTTACTGAGTCACGAAGAGGACTATGCTGCGCCACTGATTCTTAAGGCCCTCGTACATCTAGGACGGTATCATCCCTTATGTGACATCAATCCTGCTATTGTAGCAGCCCTTGCTTCTATTTGCAAAGATTTTGCATTAACCGGAACAGTAAAGCAGGCCAAGCACGCAGTGCGTTGTATATTCGTCAATGTACAAACTCAAACGATCGGTGGCACTGACGCTGGCGCCGACACTATAAGTCCTCCAACAAAAACGCCCATCATTCATCCAATTTTCAATGAAATTATAGAAACACTACGGGTCACTCTCTCCCCACGAGATCCATATCAGCATACAAAAATTTGTACGTTAGGCCACATTGCGTACCACATGCCTCAAGCCTTCCTCACACCAGTGAAAAATATGATAGCTCGTCGCGTTGTAAAAGAGCTTCTTATTCAAGGCGTTTCGGAGACCCGAGATTGCATACTGCCGGCTGGGGACTGGTGTGACAAAGAAGGACTGCCTGCGGATACACTTTGTAAGCTAGATGCACTTAAAACAATGGCTCGCTGGCTAATTGGCCTACGTTCAGATGAACATGCTGCACAGAAAACATTTCGCATGTTAGTCGCTTTCATAAATCAGCGAGGCGACTTACTGGAGCAGAATCGACTGTGCCCAGCTGAGAAATCGTGGTTACGTCTCAGCGCTGCTTGCGCCATGTTAAAGATTTGCGAACAAAAAGGTGTTGGGGATCAGTACAACGCGGAGCAGTTTTTCAATTTATCGCAAGTTATGGTAAGAGTTAAGAAATATACACACATTCAAAATGCTTTGCTCGATATCGCTCAGAAAATGTTGCAGATTTACATATCGAGTCGTTAATTTTGAAAGTGGCATACCTGTAACTAGTTTATTTGAGTTCTATATCATTTGTTATTTATTTTATACGTAACTGTAGTGTGATCCTGTGCCTGAGGTGCGTGATATGTTCGCACGAAAACTACATAAAGGTTTGGGCAAAGGACTACCGAACAAATGCTTACCATTGGACTTTATGGGATATTACGCACTAGTTGGTCATGAAACTGATAAAAGGTCTGCATTTATGTTATAAAATCGTTAAATTTTCTATATTATGTATTTGCGCTTTAGATTGACGGAAGTCATCCGAAACTACGTTGAAATCGATGTTAATAAAAGGCGGGAATATCTCAAAACTCTAGCGACAATGTGTAAGTGGTCAATGCCATCGTGTTTAGTCAAATAAATAATATTTTTTATTTCATAGCGACTGAGACCAAAAATGATGCGCAAACTGCATATATTTTACCTGATTTCATGTTAGCATTTGCGATACCTGTCCTTGCACATGACCCAACCTTTACTGACTACGAAGATCGCAACCAGCTGAAACAGGTGGAAAAATGTTTGCGCTTCATTCTTGAACCGCTTATGGCGAAACGTGAAGCTTTCTCATACAGCTTCTACACCAACCTTATACAGATGATGAAAAATCACCAGGACACCACACCGAACGCCGAAGATCATGCGTATAACTTCGTAAGTTTTGCATTAGAATTTACCTCAAAAATGTTATCGACGGTATTTACATATATAAAACAAACATTCAAACCTAATGAAATTTTTTAGAAAATGTGGGCGGCATGTGATCTAGCTTTGTACATAATTAACTCGAAAATCGGCGATGGAAGCTCATCTGCAAATTCATTTTCTGTTCAAATTCAATTACCAGAGATGTATTATAAGCCTTTGGATAAACCTGGAAACGATTTAAAGGTATATATACCTCTGGACACGTATACGTTAGCATCAAGTCCCATATCTGGAACGACGAAGATAAACACTTCGGCAGCTGTTTCAACGGTGGTTAAAAAATTTGGAACTCCGGCCGCTAGCAGCACGACGATGCGTCTTGTTGGTGAAAAACGTGCGGCTGACCATCTGCCAAGCAATGAAAACTCGCCGACAAATTCGCAGGTGAGCATTCAACACAGTCTCGCGAAATATATAAACTAAAAATGCCTTATTAATGCTAGGATAACACTGTCACCTACGAGGAGAGTAAAGTGGAATCGAACGCAAGTAGTATAGCTGAGCCAGCAGCCAAACGAACGCGCGGTCCCCTACGTGTGGGAAAAACAGTTTCATAAAATCTAAACAACGGCCGTGGTTAAAAAAAACCAGACGTCCACAAATGCATCCCTCCTGAACCGGCACAATGCCTTGGAGCACTTATACGTACTATGCAGGGAATCGTAACAACACATACATACATACATAGCCGTTGCATCTGTACATTTCTAAAATGAGAAAGCCAACCTATTAATCCTTTACTAGTAGGTGAATTTTTATTTTTCAACAATAGGCACCTTTTTGAATTGCGTATATGTAAAGGCACAAACACAAACGAAGAAAACTCTCTGGGTCGAGTCTTATGTTTGTGTGTACATTGGTTTTATTATGACTGGGGGTCCTGACCGATTACTTATAAATTACAATTACACAAGAATAAAAATTGTTTGATTTATATGATAAAAAGATAGTATTTAAGCATTTATGTATATTGATTGAATATTGAATATAAAATATTTGAAAATAATATATAATAAAATATATAATATAATAAAAAACATGATGATATAAAAGATTGGCGCTTACACAATAAGTTAGTGTTTGGCCGAGGTTCGCCTCCGATTTGTGGCGCGCGCGAACATATCAAGTTCACGCAAAGCCGACTCCAAGCGGTGATTTTATTTTTAGTAGAAGCTATTTGAGCCCGTCTTGGGGTTAACGTGCCATCGCACGATTTTATGAACTAAAATGATTTAAAAAAAGCGCCGATTTTTTATGCTTCTTCCTTTTCAATCTCTCTAAGTTCATATATTTTTTTATTTTTTATTTATTTTTTTAGTGTCTTTAAAGCCAAAAATATCAACTTTATTAAAGTAAGTGTAAGTAAACCAATTTATATCTTCTTTACAATTTGCACGACGTCTTCATCGTTGAGGATATGGTCGATACCCACTTTTTGCGGTTGATGCTTAACGGAAGAGCCCCACACCAAAGCACTGAAATACATAGCACATTATTAGGCCAAAATTTATATAAATTACTTACTATTTAAATTCTTTAGCTATTGTTCGATGCAGCTTATTACAAAAATCCTGTATACTTGTGCGTTCATTATGTAGTACGATGGGTGAGGAGTAATCCGGCAATTGACCCTTCGGTTTCGTGTAACTACCAAAAGCAAGAGCTGAAATATTTTCATTTAATTTTTTAAAGTTGCTTACATGCGGACCAGTTTCAAATAATCCCACATCATCTCTAGTAAGTCGTCAAAATTCCAGCGATGATGTGCAGATATTGGAACACAATGCGGAATCTTATAAATAACATCCAGTTCCTCGATGGAAATCTGATCGATTTTGTTAAGAAGATAAATACAGGGTATGTAAATACGATTACCCTCGATAACATCAATTAGATCGTCGCTAGTCGCATCATATCGCAACGTTATATCAGCGTTATGTATCTTATATTCGGAAAGGATTGTCTTGACTAGATCAGCATCTAATTCAGATTGTGGTACCATGCAGTTGAAATTGACACCTCCCTTATCTTTGCGTTTAAAGTATATATTTGGTGGCTTTTTGTTTAAGCGAATGCCAAAACCTTCTAATTCATGTTCAAGTAGTTTTTTATGTCCTAAAGGCTTGAGACAATCTAAAACCATAAAGATTAAATTGCATGTTCGAGCTACAGCGATAACTTGACGACCTCGACCTTTGCCATCTTTAGCACCCTCGATGATTCCAGGTAAATCCAAGAGCTATTTGCGTGGATGATAGAGAAATGTTAAGTAAAGTTGTACATCATGCATATGTGTTATTATATTTAAAATTTTACCTGAATCTTTGCGCCCTTATATTTAATACAACCCGGAACCGTAGTCAAAGTCGTGAATTCATAGGCTGCGACCTCACTGTAAACACCTGCCAAGTTAGAGAGCAAAGTTGATTTTCCCACCGATGGGAACCCCACGAATCCAACTCGTGCGTCTCCAGTTTTTGCAACCTCAAAGCCTGTACGAAAGATAATGCTAGTTTGAGTATCCATTTTATTTTTTACAGCTCCCAAGCTCAAAATAACTTTTATCAGTTACCTTCACCACCGGCACCGCCGCCACCGCCTTTTGGAGAGATCAATTCCCGACGCAGCTTTGCCAGTTTAGCTTTCAGAAGACCCAGATGAGCTGATGTGGCTTTGTTCTTTTGGGTGCGTGCCATCTATCATTTAATCAAAATGCCAAGGTATCCACGGATGCGGCAAATTATGTTAAGGTTAGTTTTTATTTGGATCAACAGTTTAACTTTTATTAGTTACCTCGGATTCGATGGCCGCAATTTTTTCCAGTATTGTACTCATAGCGCCGTTGGTTTTCTACTCTGATTAACCAAAAAAGTGTTTGCTCTTTAATTTACCACTTTTTGAGAACGCGTGGACAGTCGAATTGGGATTCCATCAAAGAATTGTGATTTTGCCCAACAATAGACAATGTCAAATGTCAAAAGTTAGCAGGGTGTGAAAGTGCAGAAATAGCCTAACAGCTTGGTGGTAATGGGGTTCTTTTTTATAAAAAATCCTTTTTTATTATTTATTATGAACTTTATTGAACTTTATCTAAAGAAATACTGTTTTTTAATAATTTGCAAAATTGAACATAATCAGCCTTTTCATGAGTTTCATTTTTGTCCGAATTTAAAAGTAGAATTTTTTTTAGTAATATTAATATCATCGCTGCTTTTGGGGTTTCCACCTATTCGAAAATTATAAAAATCGAAACATTCCATCATACATTTTTTTGGACAGGTGACACCACTGGTTGTTGATATTGCCGGAACTCATCTGGTTGTAGTCAGCATCAAAGGTTTTTAGGAATGAAGAAGTTGCTAGCTTCTATCAACCATCGTAGTGAACGTTTTCAAACTTCAATTTCATATATAATTATTTTGATATTAGTTATCAGTGGTGTTTGCATCGTGTGCGACCTATTCAACTTGCGAAATGAAGCTGGACAAAACAATAAAGTTCCATTGGACCTTGATCACGTCCACGAAATCTTGTTGTCAAGTGGCAGTGAGGAAGCGCGTGAACGGGATGATAATTGTAGACTATGGGATTGCGTGAATTTGTATCGTTGCGGACAAAAGGGACACGATCGCCTCACCGTGTTTGTCTATCCCTTGCAGGAATACATCGATAAAACAAGTGGTAATACCGTTTCAATACTTACAAGGGAATATTACCAAATCCTCGAGGCGGTTGTACGAAGTCGTTACTATACACCTAACCCAAATGAGGCTTGCTTGTTCCTTCCAAGCATTGACACCTTGAATAGTAATTTGGTTAAACCTGGTACAGTGGAGCAAGCATTAGCTATGCAGAATCATTGGGAAAATGGCGAGAATCACATTATATTTAATATGATACCTCGAGTTGACGGAAACATTTTGAAAACTGACCGTGCCATAGTGCTTGGAGGCGGATTTGATTCATGGACCTATCGGACAGGATTTGATTTAGCGTTACCAATTTTTAGTCCCACACAGCAAAAAGTAGCCGATTTATCCGCTAAATCAACGCACCTGCCGCGTAGAAATTTGTTGGTAGCCGTTTTACCAAACATATACCAAAAGTATCGTAGATATGTACAGACTTTGGCTGATGACAACCCGAATGATGTCCTTGTCATTGATAACTGCATTATATCAAATAAAGAATCTAGAAATGGAATTCATTGCAACAGTAGTCGCGCCAAAGTTTTCGAATATCCTCGAGTGTATGAAAAGGGTACTTTCTGTTTATACTCGCATAGTGTAACAATGGGACAATCGGATTTAATGGAAATGCTTGCTTACAACTGTATTCCCTTGATTGCGGTAGATAATTTCGTACTACCTTTTGAGGATGTCCTTGATTGGCCCCTATTCTCGATTAGAATTCGTGAGGCTGAAATGCACTCCATAGTAAAAAAGTTGGAAAAAATATCACATACAAAAATTTTTGAATTACAACGGCAAGGTCGTTGGGTATATAATCGATATTTCAAAGATTTGAATGTTATAACGCTAACTGCATTGGAGATTTTGGAAAATCGGATCTTTCCACATCGGGGTCGTAGCATAATGGATTGGAATAAACCGGACGATAACTACCGAAGTACTTTCAATCCACTCTTCTTGCCGGTTATTTCTCCCAAGGCGCAAGGCTTTACAGCCGTGATACTAACCTATGATAGAGTGGAAAGTCTGTTCACATTGATTCAAAAATTAGCTATGGTGCCATCACTACAGAGCATACTGGTTATTTGGAATAACCAAAATAAGATGCCGCCACATTGTAAAATATTTTGAATGTTTCCTGATTTTTGTCTTCTTTTACTTTGTCCTCTAATTTCAGTGTCTGCTTTTCCGACAATTTCAAAGCCTCTTAAAGTAATTCAAACTCGTGCAAACAGGCTTTCAAACCGCTTCTATCCATATAATGAAATCGAAACGGAAGCTATTCTTACAATCGATGACGACATTAACATGCTTACTACAGATGAGTTGGATTTTGGGTAACCAATGCGCTAACAATTGTAATTAACTCTTATTTAACGTGTATTTATCTCTAATATTATAGATATGAAGTTTGGCGGGAGTTTCCGGATCGAATTGTTGGATTTCCTAGTCGTATTCACGTGTGGGACAATGCAACTATGCATTGGCGTTACGAGTCTGAATGGACTAACCAAATATCCATGGTACTCACTGGAGCAGCATTTCATCACAAATTTTGGAGTCATATGTACACATATGCCATGCCTGGAAATATCAAAGACTGGGTAGATCAGCATATGAATTGTGAAGACATAGCTATGAACTTTCTTGTTGCCAATATTACAAATAAGCCACCTATTAAAGTAACACCACGGAAAAAATTCAAATGTCCCGAATGTACAAATACCGAAATGCTCTCAGCCGATTTGAATCATATGCGCGAAAGATCAGCGTGCATTGATAGATTTGCTAGCATTTATGGACGCATGCCCCTGCATAGCGTTGAATTTAGAGCAGATCCTGTGCTCTTTAGAGACAATTTCCCAGAGAAACTAAAGCGTTTCAATGATGTTGGAAATCTGTAATAATATTACATTATTATTTTTACAAATATTTTAGAAACTAATTTCCATGCCATATAATTGTAATACTAGTACTAAATATGTATGTACATAGGTATGAACTGCAATTTAATATATTTTATATTGTGGTTGATCACGCTTGCCTTAGGTTGTCTGGTTATAAAATGTAACCACATAACCAGATAACCTGATAACCAGGCAAGCGTGAACGTTAATAAAAATATTCTCTCAAATAACTGTCCCGTTATTAAATGCGCATAACAATAGTGGCATAACCGTAAGTGCTTTGACCCGTTTATTCTAGTGATGAATTTTCCTAAGATTTTTCCTTCAAGTGAGTAGTAGATAGTATACATATTAAAAAACTAATACTAAAATGTATTTAGGAGCAAAAAGCACAAACTCACGTCAACAATTTGTGGCTGCCTTAAACGCGAGTTTCGACAAAGTTAAAAGACCTAAAATCGAGGATGTCCATAATTCTCCACAATTCGCGAAATCGGAATTCTTCTTATTGCCAATCCCTCTGCCAAAAGAAGCATCCCCTTCACATGACGACAGTCGGCTATTTGAGCAAAAAATGTCCAGTCGTGGCTCCAAGCAGTAATACAATATTGCATAAGGATGGTCGAAGGAAATCGGCGTTGATATCCATTTTCTTATAGGTCAGTTAAAGAGAGTAACGAAGGGAAAGCAACGAGGTGAAAATATTTTACTGCTGCAAAATTTGGATGGGGGACCTGTACTTCAAAGATTTTTTTATTATGATTTTAATTTACGTGGATTCGAATCGGATAACCGATTATCTATTATTTTTTTTTTTTTTTAGAATATTACTCTTATCTTGTAGGACGCTTCTTGCGCGTCATTGGCCGCTTCGTATACAAAACGTCGCCTCCTTTGTTTTACTTCAAAACGAATAAGGAATAGTTCTGTTTATTAGTTTTGCGTACTTAAATTAATTTGTACTAGAATTAAACTAATTCAGATTCATTTAACTTACTTTTAAACATAAATTACTTCAGTTTATAGGGAAATCACAGTACATAAAAATGCTGACTATTGCACCCGCTGCTATTGCGGTTATATAACCCAAATGTAAGGCACTACGTCGTTCGCGGCGGTAACTAATGAAATCAAAATAATAATTATAGAAACCAAAATTTTTGAGAAAATAACTTGCGTCTGTTTCAGTGGTGAAAAGGGAGAGGGCGGACTTATACCAGGGACGTCGCTGTCGAAATACACCAGCATACAGGAAAATAAGGCCACTGCAACGCCACACAATAATGGACTGAACGTATCGGATAGGTTTTGTTCTTGCGTCCACCTTATAGCATCTTGTACTTTTGCCTGCAACATCTTCGATATGTCGAAAAGGCTCTCATTTTTGACATAGGGCACTGAAAAGAAAAAAAAATCACGTCTGAGTAAATTCATTTGTATGTGCGCTCTACAAAACTTTAGATAAGTACATATTTATATATGTTCCAAATTTTGTCTTAAGAACTGCAACGATCTCGACTCGAGCACACGTCGCTGGCCTTGTCTTTCCGGATGAAGAAGCTCGTCCGAATGTAAAGAACTCTCTCTTCACTTGATGATTCGATACATATATTCATTGGCGATATATTTATATGTATGTGATTTGTAATCAAAAATAGCGCATTAAAAACAATAGATTCTTTGGTATACATACATAAATATGTATAAGCCCATATTTGTTTACATACATATGTATACTGGAACAGAATAATAATAAGACGGAAAGCTTTGAGCAGAAACTTTACAACAATTTGCTTTTAGTCATTTCTGCTAGGGCAAAAAGAAGAACGCATCTGAACTATGGCACTTGTATATAGTATATGCATACATACATACATATATACATACTATATAGGTAAGTACATAAGTACTGTTGAAGCATGTATGTAAACCTACATATGTATGTAAGTATATATATGCAACAGGTACACGAATGTGGGCATTGTGAGATCATCGATAATTTATTTATTATTATTAGAATCATTCGAAATTTTTTGAATTTTTTGTAGGTATAAGGAAAAGCTACTTTGGCAATCGCTTACCTGTGATAATAACCATTTCGAAATGTATTCCAAGCAATAGCGCAAACAAAATCCGAAATTTTATATCCTCGTATTCGAAATGTTTTTACTTCCGGTGAATTGTTTATTTCTGCTAGTAATGTGGCTGACGATAATTTCGGCATTGGCGTAGACGAATCAATGATGTTTGAGCTGCCTAGCGATCGGACCGTCGGAGAGCAGAATTA